ATATCTATCTACAGAAAAAGGAGAAAATGTGAAAGTATCAAAGAATACGTCCTTTTCCGCACTTTTTCTCAACTCGAAAATTTTGACTTCCTAGTTCCAAACGTTGTCCTCATTTTTCAGTTTTCACCCCCAAAAAGCCAAAAAAAATAAAATAAAAACTTGTCCGCACTTTCCTAACTTAAATGAATGGAAACCGTCATTCAAACTCTGAAAACCCTAGTTCTTTATGGGAGTAAAACAAAGAGACGAACCGATAGCATGAATCTGCAGCCATGAAAAATCTGTGCATCTCCCAAATAGTATACCCAGAACTCCGAACGACCGCCAGACTCAAGTTTGGCGACAATTTTTATGTCTGGAGGAGCAAAGTTGGATTTGTGCTTGTCGACAATGGCGTCGATTACGTGCTCACCTTACCCAAGCCTTCAAAGGAAGACGACCCTGCCGGCCACGACAAGTGGGTCCGCGACAACATCACCGCTCGCTGCATTCTCGTGGGGTCTATCCATGAGTATCTTTTCATTGATACTTCCGAAGACGAGACGGCCAAGGCTTTAATGGACCGCATTACGGCTTTATTTACCAGGCCTTCCCTAAGCAAACGCATGGTTTTGCTCCGGCGGTACATGAGGCGCCAGATGAAGGAAGGAACGAGTATTAATCAGCATATAATTGAGATGGATGCCATGGTGGCGGAGATGGCAAGGGAGGGAATGAAGGTCCCTGAAGCAATGCAAGCGGCGGCTCTGATGAACAGTTTTCCGGAGAGTTGGAGGGATGTGAAAGTAAATATAACTGTTAACGTGGAACTGGATCGAAATGATGAAAAGAAGGGGTTGCAGAGTGTTGTCAATAGGTTGAAGAATGCAGGGGCGTGGAAGGAGTTGTTCTGTCCCTGTGACAGTAAGCCTGATAGCGAAGAGAGTTCTTCCATGGATTCTTCGACCTTTGATGGAAACTGTTACAATTGTGGGGAGTACGGGCACCGTTATGCTAATTGTCCTAACTAGGTAATGTTTTTGATGTTCTGTTTCATACCATTTTCCTGGATTTATTGTATGAATAAATGCAATAGCAAATAACATGTGGGATTAGGAGGAAAGCTGACTTCAAATTTGCATTGGTTTAGTATGATGTAGAAGTAAACTTATTATGGATGTTGAAATACCAATGCATGATTGTCTGTGTATCTAAATGCAATGTGGATTTTTTTAAGGTCGAATGATGCAAGAGTAAAGGAGATATATGTTCATTATTATTCATTGTGATTGTTGTGGATTTCCAAATTGATTAACTCGTCCTTCCTTTGACTTTGGTTTAGGTTTCTTGGTTTTCTCTGAGGAGGCAATGCCATTATTTTGGAGATGATTTCGATGGATGTTAATGTTGCCATTTTCGCACTCTAATCTCTCTGTTAGGCTTTTAGGGTTGAGATTGTGACTATGCTTTTTCTTTGCTGGTTTAGCTGCTGTCTTTTATTATCTTGTATAAACTTATATTTTGTAACCAGCCCTTTTTTTTGTTAAGGGTTCTATTCCTCTAACTTGGAAAAAAAGTATGATGCAGAAAAATGTGCTTGCTATTAGGAATATGCACTTGGGAAAGATGGTCTTGAAAACCTTGTGTAAAGTGATTATTGGATCATGGAATGGGATTATTATGGTATATATAATAATCTTCCCTGAATGTCTCTTCTTGTTAGCACAGGAAATGCTAGTGCTGTATGTTTTGTTTTGTTGTCTCCATGTTCTTGTTTAATGGGGCAAGAATCACCTTCCCCAATTATCAATTCTTTGCACCTTGTTTGTTAGTCTTCAAAACATCCGAGACCACCACGCCCGATGACTTTAAAAATGCATGACTATAGTTTTTTCTCTTGAAAGAACAAAACAACACATTGTCGGATTTAATAGACAATGACATCCAAGATTAAACAACAAATCTATTCTAGTTTAGTCAGTTAGGATATTCGGCTCTCACGGGAGTGACCTATATAAAATCTTTTGAGTGATAATAAAGAGGATGAAATTTTAAAACGAAAATTTAGGATTAATATATAACATAATGTATGTCATATTATTAAATTAATTAATATATATATATAATATTATGAATTTTTTTTTTAAAAAAAACAAAGAGTTAATTATTAAATAATATAAATTTTACTCTTTTATTTTTTGAACATTTTGACACGGACGGGTTCGAAACCCATCCAGGGGAGGAGGGAATACACCTAACAAACTGGCTAATGCCAGTGGCCTCTAGGCCCAGGTGCAATATAAATTTTACTTTTTAGTATTTTAAATAATATAATTTATATCATGTTATTAGTTTTAGATTTTAATCTCAAATTTTCATTCCATTTATCATCATTCAAAATCTTTTTATATTTCGGTAACCAAAAACATAAGCAAGAAAGCTATCCGTGTGTGTTACATGTACTTAAAATTTATCAGCATTAGACTCATCATCATCAAAAAAAAAAAAGAGGCAAGACCCCAAACCCAAAACCAAACAAACAAACAAACACAACAAAACAGCATTAGAAAGATTTGGTTAGTGTAAAAATCCAAAAGCCTGTGTTAAAACAGTAAAAATCCACATCCGTATCGAAACAAGTATGAAGGCAACTAACTGCCTTCTCTATTAAATAGAGCGGATCACCTCAGATGCTAGTTATTATGAATGCATAAGACAGGAAAACCTTGCAACTTGAATAGCTAGGTGCATTACATAAGATGCTTGCAAACACCTCTGCTTGATTTTCATTCATGGTTCCTCTGATGTACCATTCGAGTATGGCTCGCCTGCACCAACTGAACCATTAGCTAACCGATTTGTGCTGGTGGAATTTGAATACGGAGAATATGCAGGAACAGGGCTTCCTCGTGAATGCCGGCTCTGTGCAGCTGTGCTGCTTCTTGTCATCTTGAGTCGAGCCTTTCTACCCTGTCAAAGAAGAGAAGCATGTGTGACTTCCATAAGAACTAGAACTACTCAACCCACCAGTTAAAATCATCAGAGTCTATGGATGATCTTACCACAAAACTACATCAAATAATGAGAAAAGAGACGAGTAATACACTTAAGATAGAAAAGGATATGGATCACCTTTCCCATGCATTTCTCCAAATGAGGGGCAAATTTTCCAGCCATAACAGATCGCCCACAATTCATGCACTCAAATATTTCATTTGCTACCGAGGGATGTGTTTGTCCAAAAATGTCAACCACATACTTGCCATTCGTTTCACCACTATAACTAGGATCAGCCACTCTAGCCCGGGCTTCTGCTGACAACCTCAATTCCTCTTCTTCTTCATCCAAATTATGATCAAGGCCCAATCTTGCTATCCGATGACACTCAGATGCAACATCAACAATTATAGAATCTAGGAGGTCCTCGAAGAAATGAGATGAAAGCTTTAAACACAACCCAAACAAAAGCAATGAAGTTTGAGATTGTCTGGTTGGACCAAGAACTAATAAAAATGAAAGACAAACAAACAA